GGGAGGGGAAGAGGGTTCTATTATAGGGGAAAAAGGGACAAAGAAGTAGAAGACTGGAAAACTGGGGGCGGGAGGGGGAAAGTAGATAGTTCACATTTCGGATTAAGGAATTTGTTTATTTATTTTGGCCCAGTCCTGTTCTTTAATTAGTTCAGGGAATTCTCAGAGTGGTAAACTCCATCCATTTGCAGGTACAGATTATAAATTTATCTATACCTAATGCTTTTAGAGCTAAAAAAGACCTCTGTGGCCATCTATTCCTTTTACAAATGAGCAAACTGAGGTCCAGGAAGTTTCCACGATTTGCCCAAGGCTATTAGGGCAGTGTCAGAGATGGGATATGGACTCAGGTCAATCAGTGCTCTTTACATTGTACCAGGATGCCTCCCAGTCCCAAGAGAGCTGCTTGGGATACTAAGAGGTGAAGTAGTTTGTTGACAAGTAGGGCCTGAACCCAGGTCTTCCTGCCTCTAAGGCTAGTTCTATTTTCACAATGTCACACCGTCTCTCTTGGGGTTACAAAACCCGTTCAAATATAAGATCTTTCTGGCATTTAAACACCTTTTCAAGGTGGTCTCTTCCTCCCTTCCTAGACCTCTCACACTTACTTCCCCTCTACTTTCTCAATGATCCAGCTGCCCCAGCCCACTTTCAATTAGTTCCTTACACTTAAGGCTCCATCTCTCAACTCCACGCACTTGTCCCTTATGCTTGGAATATTCTCTCTTCTCATCTCCAATCCCTAGCTATTCTGACTTCCTCCAAGACTCAGCTATGGCTGCTGAGGGCAGCTAAGTGGTGCAGTGGATACAGTATGGGGCCTGGAGTACGGAAGACTCATCTTCCCAAGTTCATATTTGACCTCCGACACTTACCAACTGTGTGACCCTGGGCAAGTCACTTAACCCCATTTGCTTGAGTTTCCTCATCTATAAAATGAGCTAGAGAAGGAAATGGCAAACTCCTCCAGTATCTCTACCAAGAAAACCCCAAATGGGGTCACAAAGGGTTGGACATGACTGAATAACAAGACTCAGTTCAAATTCAACCTTCTATAGAAGATTTTTCATGCCCTGCCCCAATCCCTTCTCTGTGAGATCACCTTCCATTTCCACTATAACTTGTATCCACAGTTATCTTCATGTTGTTCCCTCCAAAAGAATGTAAGCTCCTCAATGGCAGGGACCATGTTTTCACCGTTCTTCGAATCCCCAGCTCTCAGCACATTGCTTGACACATAATAAGTATATAATACATGTTTGTTGAGTGATCACTCCAACCAGTCCTTTGAGTTTGGTAGGGCTTTTCACAGAGGCAGAAACTCGGGCACAGCAAGGCTTGACTGGCACAGAGTCACACAACCAGTCTGTGGCATTCCTGGGATTTAAACACTGGTTGCTTTTATTCTAAGACCCATGGCCTTCTAATGGCATTTCCCCCCGCCCCCAGAATTCTTGAGGACTATGTTAGGAGCACAAGCTCTGGCAGGTGGTTATAGTGGATGGAATGTTGGACTGAGAGTCTGGAACATGAGCTGAAATCCTGTTTTAGACACTCACCAGCTGGGTGATGGTAGCCAAGTCACTTAACTTCTGTCTAGCACAGTTTCCTTATCTGTAAAATTAGGATAATAATAGCATCTACCTTACTGATTTATTGTAAGAATCAAATGAGATAATGTAAAGCATTTTGCAAACCTTAAAGTGCTGGCTATTATGTTATATCATGTCGTAACCTGTCATGTCATATCATATTATTTTAATTACCTGAATCAAGAAAGGCATCGTGAACAGTCCTAGTGAGGACCTGCATGTTCGTCATCTGAGGACCAATGGCCCAATCTAGATCTATGATCACACGACCAGCTTAAGGTTGAAGAGGTTTATGACCACGTTGAGAAGAAAAGTTTGTATCACCAGGAGACACTTAACAGCAGCAATGAATGAAAAGTTGAAATCCATGGAAGTATATTCACAAAGGCGGGTGACCCCAGTAAGATACTGAGAGGTTTGGGCATGAAAAACCCAGGTGTTACAGTAATGGATGTTAGTGGCTCCCAAGAGAATCAGAATTCAAATAACATGTGGTTGGGCCCCTCCAGAAGTTCAAGCTGGGGCCTAACACAATTATTGCTTCCATATCTTGGGGGTTAGAGGCATCACGCCTCACCCCCTCCTTACCCCCAGGAGCTGGAAAATCCATGTAAAATTTTTTGGCCCTCCCTTCATACTAGAGAAAAAGTCTGAATGTTTTTTTTCTCTTATGAGGAAATAAGGTACTCTTCTGAGTACCTTATTGTAAAATTTGGGGTAAGTATTTGGTCATATGCTCTGTGTCTGCTGCCTTTCATGTATTGTCCGCAGCTTCTACAAAAGTCCCAAAAAATTCCCATTGAATTTCTTATGTTGACTCGTGTTATCAAAACCACAATGGGGAAAGTTGCAATGTGGAAGGGATGACCCTAACCCAAACATTGGTTTTGTCTTCTTTCAAAAAGCTGGAGAGAAGAAAAGCTATGGGAGAGGAAGGAGGCAAAAAAGTTTTAAGAGAGACCAAATGACTCCAAAGATACCTACAAAATAGGAATGACTCTATAATGTAACAGAAAGGCTGCCCCCCAACAGGGGAGAATCAGTTACAAATGCAACTGGGGGGGCCATGGTGGCCAAAGAAACAGAAAGACCCGCATTTTGTTTCAGCAGGAGGGGAATCTATGCTAATTCAGGTTTGGAGTAGCCTTTTGGCATTTTGTCTTCCTTGCCCCAGGTGGACCGTGTAGGCCCTGTGATGGCATGGTGTAGAGGAGAGGTTACCAGCCCTACTGATCAGCTAGATTCCAGGAGAACGTTGCCATTGCAATATGGATTTCTCAGAGCACGTGCCTACAATCACACAAGTCCTTCTGGTCAAAAGTGAAGTACCACACAGTAATCGGAGTCAAAGGGAAGAACAAATTCCATTTGTAGCCATTTGTATTGTTTCAAGAGAAACAATAAACCAGTGTTCTGAAGTTCAGACCTCTGAATGAAACTCAGCTGTGGTCTCTAGTCTGACCTAGTTGGATGGCCAATTCATAATTTGTGTAGGATATCGTCAACCTGATCAGATGCAAAATGGAGTTTTTGGCTTTTTGCTACTGGACTAGTCATGAAACAATGCATCATGGCAATATATTTCATAAGATGTTTCTTTTGGAGTTAGACACAAACTTGAAAGAAATAAGGAGCAAATTAAACTGGGCCTGGCATTCAATTTCAATAAGGGAAGCTGGGGCTTCAGAGTCGTGACACAGAATTTGGGAGGTCATTACATAGCTGACATAAGCTAACTGCTAAATGGTACCATAGCTACTGTGAATTTTTAAAGAAGAGAAGGAAGGAAATGATTTTGGGGGAAAAAAACCAAACAATTTCCACTTGGAAAATAGAGAAGGAAGCAATGTTGCAGAGTTGATAAAGAGCAGGCCTCAGAGCTAAGAAGACTTGGGTTCAGGTTTTACCTCTGACACCTAATAATTGTGGGATCCTGGGCAAGTTACTTAACCTGTTCATGCCTTGTGAAACTTTCTAAGACAGAGAGTCGTATTCACTTTGGCAGTGTGGTAAAGCCTATGGATCTCCTTCCCTACCCCACCCCGGATAATATTCATTTAAAAAATTTTTTATTTAAATAAAATAAGTGAAAATTTATTTAAATTTTAAAATTTATATTTTAAAATTGTATTAAATTTTCAATATTTAAATAAATACAATTTAAATTATATTTTTAAACTTAAGATTTTTTAAAATGCCCATAACATAGTTGAATAGAAAAAAAGATGTTGGCACATGAAACTGCGAATCTATTATGTACAACTTGCTATTCCTTTTAAACAAATAGAGTTATCATGTAACTTTTTTTCCTCTTTTTTCTTCCCTCCATGATGTTTATAAATGCATAAAGTAAAAATACTTGGTATTACAGAAATTAATCATTCTGAAATAGTTATCAAAGTATATTTTGAAAATTCACAAATCCCACATTAAGACTCCCTGGTCTAATACATTACAGAGAAGTTGCTGACCTGTATTGGTAGATGGAGCCTTTCACTCAGGAGTTCTCCAATCAAATGAAATCACAATTCCAGTCCCTATTCCTTATTTATAGACTACAGCAAAGCTACTTCACAGATGCTAGCTATTTACCTGCTAGAGAAACAGCTTCATGTAATTTAGCAATTTTAACTGCCTTTTGTTTTTTTTTCCCCCCTTTGCTAGGAGGGAAATTCCTCAGGCACTGGGCCACTTGAATATACAGCATTTAACACTCCATTAACACCAAGTACTGATGTATTAATAGCTGCAACAATAACATGCAATTCAACTATTCCGCCCCAACTTCACAGGGAAAATTGAGTTATATTCTGTCAAGGCTCAGTTACAGTTCCACTTCCTACACGAGGCCTTGGCTGGTTCTGCTCACTCTTGGTTCTTTCCCTGCCCCAATTTCTGTGTGTTTAGTTTATATTTTTCATTTAATTAGCTATGTAGATGTTGTTAGCCTACTCTTTCTTTCACCATTCCAACCTCCAGTCCTACGTATGCTTCTTGAGGACAAGGACTCTTGTATCTCCAGGGCCTGGAAATAGTAGGCTCCTAACAAATGCTTGGTGAATCAAGTGCCATCTAATTCTCCTCCTGTGTTGATTCTCAACTAGTGGTTTTCAAACCCCTTTTGGGGTTTGCGATAATGGTCCAAGGGACTGTTTTTTGCCTTTCTTTGTATCCCTAGCATTTAGCACAGTGCCTGGCATATGCTTATTCACTAACTGCTAAAAATTCTTTAATGATACTTTAAATAATTGTAAAGAATATAATAAGTAGTATATTAAATTACCCTGGGGATTCAAAACACATTTTGCGATTGTTAAAACATAAAATCTTGGTAACCACTGTCCTAGGATATTCTTCCCCCCAACCATAACATCACCCTCTCCTGAGAAATAATGATGGGAAGGCATGTTGTCAGCAGAAATCACAAATTTATTAATTCTTAAATATATCAATCAGTCATTTACCATTATGGCAAGAAATATATACAGTGTCCCATGGTAAACTGCAGTGTTTCAAAATAACAGGAGATACATATATAATTCGGTTGTGGTGGAGGGAACAAATCACGATTTCTTCACACCTTGGTGTGGAAGACAGACTTAAGCTACAGTAACATTTCAATGCCACATGCTATGTTAAAGTGTAAAACAAAAACAAAAACAAAAACAAAAAACAAATAAACCCACCACTCTACACATGTTTAAAAATACACTGGTGCTACTTACAACCGCTTCACAAAAAAAAAAAGTGATAGAAATTTAAAAGGGAGGAAAGAAAAAAGAGGCCGTTACTTTTTTTTTTTCACAGATCTCATTGGCAGGTTAACATGGCTCAATACATTTACTGTATATGTGTATTTTAAATATATATCATTTAAAGTTATGTAATAATGATCAGAAAAGCTTCAATCCATCTACCACACATCCACTACTAAAGTCTAAAGGCATAAAGGATTGTTTGGATTAGTAAACGACACAGAAAAGGGAAATGATACAAATCAGGAAATTTTCCTTTTCGGTTTTACAAACAGGTTGCAGAGGGTTGTGAGTTGCTTAAAAAAAAATGCCATTAGAGATAGCATGCACTATACAGCATCACAGTAAAGAGGGATAGCTCTGCAGGAGTGGGGCAAAGAAGAAAACACAAGGAGTGATACTCTGCTCCCTCCCCAGTCCGCCCTGGAGCTCGCCTGCCAAGCCCATCCCCCGCCCCCTACTTTTTGTTTGTTTGTTTGAGGCTGAAAAAACTCTAACTGCTTTCAGAAACTACAATGAAGGAGAGGAAGATGGAGGAGGTCAAATTGCAAAGAACGGGTGGTAAGATGTGTATCGACACAAAAAACATTTCCCTGCTTATTTTCTAGAGCTCGGTAGTCATAGAAAAAATAACTAGTGATGCTAGAGAAGTCCCCGCCATTCAAGCCCGGGGGGGTACAAAGGGAGCCTGTGTGCACACGCGATTGTGCTAAACTCTGAGAGGTTCTGGTATGATTGCAGTGATTATCCAGATGAGTAAGAAATTGACTGACTCAAACAGGAGCTTGTATTTTTTCATCTTCAGCTTTTTAAAAGCCTATATATATATTTATATATATATAATTTTTTTCTAAAAGATTTAGAATATCTAAGCCCAATCTAGAATATAACCAATGTTAAAAAAAAATCTGATTCTCTAATAAAATTCTGTACACCCTGAAAGTGCTCAAAAGCTCTCTGCTTTAACTCTTTCCCTATATCCCTATTTTTTCCTTCACCTCATGTTGCCTTTAGACTTTTTCTCACTAACTGCAAATCCTCACCCTGAAGGAAAAAAGATTGGAGGGTACAGACTTGAGGAAGCAGGAACAGACACAGCTGATTAAGCAGAAAAAGGGAAGCATGTCCTAGGGAGATCAAGCCAGTAAGTGATGTGAGTTTTTCCAGTTTACACAGCTTGATCAAGAACTAAGATGGCTTGGGCTGATACTCAGCCAGCCCAGTTTTATTTCCATATTCATCACTGATTTCATCCACATAGTTGTCACAATCCAAAGCCACCGACAAAAATATCATTCATTTCAACTATGACCACAACAGAAAACTGAAGAGATTTTTTTTGCCTTTGGTTTTTTTTAAACAAACTGAAACAGATAGATATGGCATAGACTTTTTTTTTGATGAATATTTCTTTTACAACCTATCATTTAGAGAATGATAGCTCTGAAGGCTGTTAAAACTTGGCATAAACAGAAAAAATGATGCTTGTACTATGCTTGGAACATGTGGTTGTGGTGTTTTCTCTCTCTCTCCCCCACCCTCCCTCCCCTTGTTTGCTGACATTGGTTTTAATTTGCACTAAACATCCCCTTCGATAGAGTGCAAACAAAACACTGAGATGGAATATTATGACAAAATGATGCATCACCAATGCATTGTTACAGGTAGGACCATCACAGCTTCATGCATTTGGAAACATGCATGAAGAGGAGGACAGGCCCGCCCGGGGGTTACCATCCAGGTGCCTTGAAAACAGAGAATGCAGAAGTGGCACTGTTGATTTTTAGCTGAAAGGAAAAAGGGGGGGAAACAAATTATATTGTTGTTTATCAAGATCCTGTCACTTATTGGGCCACAGAGGAGGCTAAGGCATTTTAACTTTCACTATGGGAGATAACAGACTGAAAGTATAGGTGGGGGGAAGGGCGAGAGTCTATATAACCTGGCGCCATAAAGGAAAATTGATTATGTTGAACAGAGGGGATATTAAATGAGAAATCAGGTGCGATGATCTATCAGTCCGCTCAAAAGGACCTAAGCTACAGAGAGATGGAAACTGGAATTCTCAGTCACTGTATACCAGAAAAAGATTTTTCTTTCTTTTTTAAAGAAGGAAGGCCTTTCTTCACTCAAACAAATGAATATTGTAAGGGGACATTTCACATATGTGTTACTGATGCATCCTAGTGGCTAAAGTCTACCTGTAAGTTCCTCCAGGAAAGGCTTGGGTAAATACCTTTCTCTGATTACTGAGGAAGTAATTTCACATGAAATGCCAAAATCATGATCTCAATAGTGGGGAAAACAAGGGATTTTTAAAAATTTCATGAGGGGTTCCTTCTCACGCTGAGCCAGGGCTGTGCTTCTTTACATAGGTCATTTCACTAGGCAAGGCACACATCGGATCGTAGTGTACCCAGCAATAGATCCCCTTGCAAAAGTATAACCTATCCACATTTCCAAAGCAAATCAGTCTAATAAAGTAACAGCACCAGTAGGAATTTCATTCTAGTCAACCCTCAATTATCTTTCTGGATTATCCTCTCTATGGACATCCACAAACTGTTTTTGATCCCACCTGGTTTGTGCCTTCCGTCACTGGACTTCCCCTTTAAAGTATGGACTCGGGTAAAGAAGCCATTCTGAAAAATTAACCTAAACAATGCATGAGGGAGTGAAGCCAGTGAACAAGGCTATAGAGTGTCAGGTCTCTGAGGTCAGAGACTGTTTTCATCTTTTTTTCTTGTTCTTGTAATTCCTGGCGCTTAGCACAGTCCCTGACACAAAGGGCCACTGAATATATGCTTATTAGCTTGATCTGCAGAACATTCAAAATTCCATAGGTTTGAAGCCTAATCTAACATTTTAGATGGTTGTTTACTCTCTCTTATTCTCACTACTGTACCTTTCATTGGCACAGATAATTAAGAATTGTCTAATTGTGACCCAGAACAGAATATTAGATGACAGTGACTGTCATCTAAAGTTCTGTTCTGGGTCATAATTAGACAATTGCACCATTTTAGGGAGCTCTAAAATGGCTGTGACCCAAGGTTACATTGAAGAAAGTTCATTTTTAGTGCCTCCAAATTTTTCTACAAAGAACGCTAGATGCCCCTTTTAAGAGCTCAGGGAGACTTGGCATGGGTTGTTGTATTTTTGAAAAACCCTGTATACTCTTTGTTGGAAATAATGCAGGATAAAATATCCTTATAAATAATAAGATTTAGAGCCATAAGCGATATTAGAGATCATCTGGCCAGTCCCAGTTTATGAATGAGGAACAGGCTGAGAAAGATGAAGCGATTTACCCAAGGTCATGCCACACAGGGCTGATTCAAACCTAGGTCTCCTGACTTCAAAACCAATCTTCGCATGACAACACATTAATCATAGTGCAGTTGGCAGTCATCAGCTCCGATCATACTATATCAGGAGCAAATAAGTCACAAGACCCATGAAAACCAGAGGTATAACTTCCAGGCCTCAATAGTTTTGACCAAAGAGGTGCTTCCAGAGACATTCTCTTTCCCATCTTAAATACAAGATCACCCATTTAAGTGGCCTACTGTTTTAAGCCACGTGGCATTAAGTGGAATCTTTTAAACAGAAATTCTTTCATATAAATTTTACTTTTACCCTTGGACAGTATCGTATCTCTTTAAGTTTGTAACCCAACTACGGGCTAGCAAACTCATTGATGATGATCCTAATGGGAGGCTCTCTGGGAACCTATCATGGTTTGGCAGTAAGTCATATTGAGATATGCTATCTGGGATTCTCTATAGAATAACAGGATGGACAATGGAATGAACTACTTGCTACATTCTGTTTGCTATCTCCTCTCTTTTTTGAGGCTAATATAGAGTGGATCCAGCCTAACCTCGGGCGCCATCATTGGTCCCGCTGTCCTGTGTACCAAGTCCCAACTTTTTTTGGCTGTTCTGTCTGCCTTCCATAATTGTGGCCCTGCACTAATCATTCCATTTTAATCACCATCCTTAATCCTTTAATTATCATCGTTATTTCTACCTCTGTTCTGGGCTTGCTGGGCCTGGTTTTTGCCAACTCACCATTTACATTATGTCCACTCACTGTGTCACTTCTCAAGGCTAAAATGCTTCACTTACCCCTTGTCCACACACTCTCTCACTTTTCAGACTGCATGCATCCTTCAAGTCCAGCTCAAGACCCAGGACACCTTCTCTGGGGACTCTCCCTTCTTTGCAAGTTTCCTGCCTCATCTCACTTAGCACTTACATTTTTATGTGTACCAAACTCCTCTGAGCAGGAAACTTTGCCACCATGGCTTCCAAATAACCATGACATATATTATAGTACTTGATACATCTATAGGTTAATATGCTTTAGAAATATTCTGGTACAAACAACTTCCCATTCTTTCACAGATAAGGAAAAGAGGGCCCAAGGAGGGTAAGTGACTTGGCCAAGATCATGCAGGTAGTAACTCACAGAATCTGTATTTGAACCTCAGTTCTCTGGTTCCAAATCCAGCACTCTTTTTTTTTCTTTCTCCTTTCTTTTCCTTCCTTCTTTCTTTCCTTTTTTCTCTCTTTCTATCCTTCCTTCCTTTCTTTCTCCCATATATATTTATTAATTCATTGATCAAACTTGGGATTTGGAGTAGAAGTGTATAGGTAGCTGAAGATGGAAAACCTCTATTTATTTCCTATAATCAGTCACATTAATGATGATTTCTAAGACTTTCTTCCAATTTTAACTAGCTAGCAGTAACTCAATCCCCTGCTTCCACCTTGCTCCAGGGGTTCCTTTTTTTTTTTAACTAGGCTACAAACCGATCTCCTGACTTCCTGTGGTCCTTGAAGAGACTCCTTCCTCTTCCTTCCTTCCACACCCAAACCTTCTATGCCAACTATGACAACAGAGGAGTGAATAACTTGGCTAATTATACTGTGCCTTCAGTTTGCTGGAGCAGCCTCAAGATCCTGTCCTATCTTACTATTCAGTGTTGTTGTACCAAGTTTCAGTTCATCAATGAACTGAGGGAGTTTTGCAGGGAGTTGTGAGATCTTTTATGTTTCTAGGCATTATATATATTAAAACAAAAAGCCAAAAAGCCACCAGCATTATATAATACATGCCATGCTATAAACAATGGAAGATTATAGAGAGCTGACCATGGGCATATTATCAAAGAAGCTGACGGCCTGGAAATATTTACTTGATGGGTACTGTTGGTGAACCCGAGCGGTGAAAATGAACATTTTGCCACTTTCCATCACGGCGGTGCCAGACTCTGGTCTCTTCTGACTGCATAGTCTTTGGCATTCCGCTGCCATCCATGTACTGTGTGAGCCTGATGTATGCTATGCAGGCAGCGTCATCGCCTACCAGATGGACGTGAGGGTTCAGGATGATGGTGTGGATTGGCTTATTGCCTTTGGACAAAGCTACACAGGAGCAAAAGGAAAAGACCAGAACAAAGATCAATGGGATAAAAGGTAATCACCACAGCTGTGATCAATATATGGCATCAATACACATTACAACCATAGGAAATCCTTTCTGGGATTTGATGTTACCTTCTGAATTTGTAAATTCAGCAATTAGCCCCTCTTGGAGGATCACTTTTATGAAGTTCCATTTAACATGCGTGTCTTTGATTTTTCCTACATTATGAAATTCCAGGAGGAAAAATGAATTCAATTTTTTGTCTTCTCATGAGGGAGATAAAAGATAGAGAGATGTTTTCAGCTATATATTTTTTTTCCTTTCTGCAACAGGGACTTTAGAGAAAAAGGAAGTGATAAAACACTAACAGAAAGTGAAGTGGCTGCTTAGTGTAGGTGAATGGTGATTGTCACCAGCCCATGTTGTAGATGCAGAATGTGCTGGATCAGATGGCAGGATATCCTGTGGTCTCCCAGAAAGCTATCTTTCTTCTTTGTTTTATATTTATTAGTAAAGTACCTCTATAGCAGGAGGCAGGTATATTACATAGCTCTGACATCCTACAGTGCTTTGCTAATAACCACGCAGCAAGAGCACTTTAACCAGATAGTTTATTTTGATGCCTGTTAATTGACTGGGTGACCCATGACATCCTCAGTGCTTTCCATGGTTACAGCACGATTATGAGTCTCCTCAATATATTGGTTGCCATCCTCTGGACATACTCCAGCTTGCCAGTGTTTTTACTAAAATGTACCACCCAGACAGGAACAAAAGACTGTTAACTGCGGTTGGATCAGAGCAGAATCTAGTTAGATAATGACAATGTTCCTTGTAGACATCAAGCTTCCTTTAACACAGCCTGAGATTGTATGACATTTTTCTGAATGCCAGGTCACACCACTAAGCCAATACAGATTTAAAGTCTACTAAAATGCCCAGGCCGTTTTCACATCCATTTTCATCTAACTAGATCTCCCTTTCCTTACTGTTTTTTTTTAACTGAAGTGTAGCACTTTGTTAAATTTCATCTTATTAAATTCATCCCACTGTTTCAGAGTATCAAAATCTTTCTTGGAGGTAGTTTTTTCTATTCCATTAGTTACCTCCATCAGGATGATGGCCCTTCCCCCCAAAGCCAGTGGTTTTCCTCTGAGTTTCCTTCTCATTTGCACTATATATAACTGGTATTCTGTCCACAGTGGTGAGAATTGTCTCTCCATTAGAATGGGAGCTCCTTGAGGGCAGGGGCTGTGTTTTTGCTTTTTCTCATGTCTACAGCACATAGCATAGTGTTTAGAATATAATAAGCATTTAATAAATATTTGTTGTTGGTGAAATTCTGTGAGAAAGTTTGGGGAAATATGGAATAAAAGATGAAAAAAATATTTACTTTAGCTCTGATGAAAGCATATTACCAATTACTGAACTGCCCAGAGTCTACACACATAGACACGCACAAAGAATTTAGATCTTTCTCTGTATTTTTGAAATTATGCTAATCTAGTAGCTTTGGTAAGAACTCAATTTATTTAAAGAAATTGATGACAAAAACCTCGTTGTTTATGTTAGCAAAATTCCATTGCCAAAAACTTGATTTCCTGTATGGAACATGCGTAGCATCAGTGACACACATGGAAACAAAAGAATCACAGGATCACGGATTTAGTACTAGAAGGCATTTTTTTTAAATGTGACCTCTAGAGGTTGGGAGGTAGGGATGGATAGAATGAATTTCTAGAATCTAGGGCAGGACTTCTTAACCTGCATCTATAAACTCCCAAGTGGATAGATTTCAGGTGTATGTGTGTGTGTGGGGGGGCCTTGAATTTGGATGAGGAAAAAAAATGCATCTTTTTTTTCACTAACCTGTAATTGAAATTTAGCTTTTTTCTTCAATTATTTAAAAACATTATTCTGAGAAGGGGTCCATAGGCTTTAGCAGACTGCCAAAGTGGAGCATCACACACACACACACACACACACACACACACACACACACACACACACAAAATCAATCAATCTATCACTCAATATTTATTAATCATTTGCTATGTGCTAAATGCTGGGATGTAAAAATAGGCAAAAGATAATCTCTTCCCTCGAGCTTCTAGTCTAATGGAGGAGAAGAACTTCTGATCTAAGAGAACTTTTCTGGAAGGTTAAAGAGGATTCTAGCAAAAGTGAATTCCTTGGTACTACTCTTAGCCTCTTAGCGTGAATACTTCTGTTCTTTAACAATTTTACTTTGATTAAGAAAGAAATAGCATTGTCAAGGTCGTTGTGAGCCTTTACCATTTGGAATGCTTTTGGATATGGATTATTAGTAAATCATCTCTAGATTGTACTTCCTTTGTGCAGTTCTTCCAAAATGACTGGAATTCTTGCAAATTTATCATGTTATCACAGTATTAATCATTTCCATCTATTCTGTATTGAGAATATAAGCACTTAACATGCTTTCAAAGATTTTATCCCTACTTCAAAGATTATGAGAAAATATATTCATTTGCTATAGCAACAAAAAGTAGACTGCTCACAGGGAACTGAGAAAATCCCCACATACATTTATGTATGTGTTCATTAGATTTCATGTAATGGAAGATATTGGTAATTTCAATGCTAAGTGTATGGCTAGATTTCATAATGCTGCATTTATTATAAAATGTAGATATTTTATAGTGAGTGAGAATTTATGTACCTATCATTCATTTCCTATTTCAATAAAGACACATCCCTATAATGCATACACCTGGCCTGGACGAAAAAATTCCTACTTCAGATATAACCAGAAAGAAAATTTCATTTGGGAAGAAGCCAAGAAGAACCTGGGGGAAAAAAAAAAAACATGTAATTTTTTAAAAAGGAGAAATATACCATTTTCAAAGTAGAATCGATGAAAGTCCATTCCTTCCACTAAATTACCCAAAGCTTCGGGTTCAAAAGCAGTGAGACCTGGGTCACATATTTTTCTGTAGGAAGAAAATAAAAATAGCCCCCAAAGAACTTAATATTAGTCCCATTATTTCACATATATTCATTCTGATTTCTCAACCAGTCAATTCTCCAAAGTACTTCCATAATGCCCACCAAAGACACTCTGTGTGAATCAGTTTGGCATATCCCCAGCCTCACCCGCAAATATTTCAAGGGACAAGTAATGATTAGGAGCACCTCCTTCAAGAATGACAATGTCTGTGGAACTATTATTATGGACTCATACGTATTGCTAAGGCGAGCTTCAAATGTACCCATTTAATTTTGATTACTCCAGGATTCATCATTATTAGTGACAGGTACAATATAATGACCCTCTGGAGAAAGTCTGTAGGGGTCACTGAGTGGAGAATGAGTTGAAGGAATTGAAGGCCATTCGCTAATTTAATCAAGTGTACTCTCTGCCAAACCTTTTTGTTCTTTCTCCTGTGGAGGGCAATTTTTTTTAAGCTGTTGAACAAAATGTAATCTCAAAAGTGATCTATACAGAGCACCAATCATAGCATGAGGGCCTGACATTTGATTTTCAGGATATTTTTCAACAGAGAACTGACAGTGGTTACTCTTTGTATTTTAAAAAGCTCAAGCCTTATGGAGGTATCCCTTATGTTTTTCCCTAGCCTGCCTGGTGGGCAAGGATTTTTAAGATCAAAGGCAAATGTATAAAATGCCTTTATGAGGAACAAAATGGTAAGACCTAGAAAGAACAGTGTTTCTATGGTAACAAGGGAATTTATATCGCTAGCAACTATTATTTCTCCTAGAAATAATAACTTCTGGTTATCCCCATCGGTGAACTATTGAACAGTTAATTCTGCGCTGTGCTAGGAAGTCATTCTTCTCATAGCAGTTAGACCTTAATGGATCTATCTTCACCACCATCAAAAATACATGGGTTTGAGAACCTGCTGATCCATACCCTCTGTACATCTGTGTGTTTTAGAAAATAATTTTTAAAAGTCTATTACAAGTCATTATTGGCAAATAATTCTGTATAGTATATTTGCATATGTATATAATATACATAAGTATTAGATGTTTCACGCACTTAGAATAATTTTGTTGGAATCTACCAAGCTATGGATTCATGACCCTGTGATGAGAAGTGTCCAGTGTACTTGTGAAGAGAGCACATTTTGGAAGCACAAAGCTGCCAGAGATTTAAAAGATATAGATAGATAGATAGATAGATAGATAGATAGATAGATAGATAGATAGATATAGATAGATAGATAGATATAGATATATATATCTATATCTATCTATCTATCTATATCTATCTATCTATCTATACATATATATCTATATCTATCTATCTATCTATCTATATAGATATATATATATATAGATAGATATATATATCTATCTATCTATATATATATATATATATATATAGATAGATATATATATACACACACACACACACACACACACATCACCATGCACAAAGCTCTGGAAAGAAAAGTCCTTTTAAAAATCAGCTCTGAATTGAAAGCTCTAAATCACTCCAGGTTGCATGCAGGTCTCCATGACCAGAGAAAAAAAGAGAAATGAGATGAATTCAATGCTAAATTGAATGAATAATGTATTAAATGTTTGGATTGCCTGATTTGATCACAGACTTCCCCTCCCCCCATATTTAGAGTCTATAACTGTTTTTTTTTGGGGGGGGGAGGAGGCAATTGCTTTGGTTGTAAAGACCTGGATAAAAAAAAAGTTTCTTTTTTTTTCTCATTCAGAAGACATCTAAAATGCAGAAATTTGTCTTAAAAACATATAAGAACAATTTAAAATAAAAAGGATAATTGAATTCTGGCATAGGCAATTTGTCAGCCTGTTCTAATTCTGTAGTTTTAGAGTTGTCTGCAGTAATAAGAGATTAAAACCTAACAAAATTCCTTTGGGAGACTTCTGTCTTTAACTAAATATCCTAAAGGAAGTCGTTTCCAAGATGAATTCAAATATTCCACATAAAAGTAAATTTATTTTTAATGTATCTCATAACATTCAAGAAGCATCCATTAGGGCACAGGCCAACACTGTGGAGGTGCTGTTGTGAAGAATACCAGTGACTTTGAATAATATTCATGACCTTTCAGTGACTGGTGATAGGCTGAGACACCTAACACAATACCTTTGATTTTATGAGGAGGGACCCTATATGAGTATTTTTGGTTTATGTTGCTGTGTTCAGTCATTTTAGTTGTGTCCAGCTCTCTGTGACCCAATTTGGGTTTTCTTGGCAGATACTGGAGTGGTTTGCTGCTTCCTTCTCCAACTCATTTCACATTTAAGGAAACGGAGACAAACAGGGTTAGGTGACTTGCCCAGGGTCATACAGCTAGTAATCGTCTGAGGCTGTATTCGAACTCAGGTTTTCCTGATTTTAGGCCTAGCGCTCTCTTCACTGAGCCACTTAGCTGCCTTTTTTTGGCTTATAACTTGCATTTTCATTTGCTTTTAGACACTGAAATAAAGAAGTCGTCAGTATCTTTTTTTTCTAAGTTATTACTTGAGGTCCACAGGGGATTACTATCACATAAATTAATAATGTCCAACTCTTACTTTTTCTCAGGCCTTTACAGCCCTCTAGGCCCAACAAATCCTCTGCAAAGTGACAATGCTGTAGACGTGAGAAGGCTGTCAGTTCTATTTTTCATAATAAATGTTTAAAGGGTAAGATTATCTCTAACAACAGAGGGGGATTCTTTCCTCTCCTCTGCCTCTCTTCTCCTTCTGTCTTTCCTGTCTTCTCCCTCCCTCCCCCATCCTCTCCTCTCCTGACTTCTCTTTTCCTCTGGTGTCTTTCTCTGTCCTTTTCTCCTCCTATCTACCCTGTCCTGTCCTCTCCTCTGGTCTCTCCTTTTCTCTTCTTCTCTCTCTCTTTCTATCTTTCCCTTCTCCTCCTTCCCTCTCCTACTTTTGTTTGTTCATTTGCTGTTCCTTCACTTCAAGGTCAAGCTCCCAAATACTTGTCCCATCACACCAGGCCTATTACATAGATGCAGAGTGAAGAAAGATTGCTATCGCATCCTAAAGTCTTGGGTTCATACTGCCTGTGGGACTCAGAGGAAGGTTTCTAACCTCTCTGTGTCTGAACTTTCCAAGACTGTAAATTACCAGTCATGTGCCTGTATTAGTCAAAGGAGTTTACCCATTCAGGGCTCCATGTACCAATACAATCCAGGGAGGGTCTCCTAAAAAATGATTTCTTTAATTAAGAAAATTCAGTGGCAAAGCACTGGCCTTTCAATGATTTATTTATCCTTGAGAAAAATTTTCTACTTCTAACAAAAATGATGAAACATATTAGAATAAAGACTTATTTCCCCTTGCTCTTTAAGGAAGGATAAATGAGAACTTATATATTCACATTTAGGAATGGAACAAATGTTGTGAGTTCATGAAAGAAAAATACCGCCGGTACTCACGTGTAAGCTTCAAAGTCCCCATTGTTAATTGCTTCAATAAGTTGCTCAGTAACTTTGATAATCTCTTGTTTACGAGCTAAAAGGAAAAGTATAGACACAAGTGAGAAGAAAAAACAACAGGCAATACAAAATCTTATAGCAATACCATTGAAGGTCTGGGATCAGAGTTACTCCCATTTAGGAACCCATCTCATGGCCTTTGGTTGGAATTGACATTCCTTTCCCTCCAGTAGAAAGGGCTAGAAAAATGTGTTTTGAGGGTAAAACCAGAGGATTTCAAAGTTCAAAAATACATCTTATATCTTAGCTCTCTTTTTGAAAGGCTATGCAAAAAAAGTTCTCAATCTTTAAAATCTGCTTTTTTTGAAGAAAAAAGAAAAAAAAAGAAAAGAAAAAAAATTGTTATTAAGTCATACACGTCCATTGAACAATCCTGAGCTTAGCTGTATATGTTTATAACCAGTGAGAGAAAGAGAGAGTACGAATACCCTTTCAATTGTCTTTTATATTTATAGTCATCCCTTCTGTATTAGGGGCCTGGAACCCCATAATCTGGAAAATCTGCTAACATTTTTTGACCCTTCTTTCATACCAGAGAAGAAATGTTTGTTTTTCTTTTTTGTTTTTCTTTTATGGGATGTTTACAGTGTCCTTATGGTAAAATTTGAGTCGATATTATACAATACTGTGCATATATTTTATGCATTTCTGAGTTTCTAACCTTTCTCTGTGTCATCTGCCGGCTTTTGCATGTTATCTGTGGCTCTCAAAAAAATCCCCATTTAATTTCATATGCCGACCCTCAATATATCGAAACCATGATGGGGAAAGTCGTGATGTGGAAGGGATAACTGTAATTTTTATACTAGTAATGTAATATGACTAGGGTAATATGTTACCCTAAAAACAGAGCTGTTTTTGCTAGTAGTTATGTCATATAATTGTCATTCTAAACCCAAACATTCTTTTTTTTTTCTGAGTAGAACTTTCATTTCATTGGTCTAGGGAACTCCCAATAAGGAAAGATTCTCTCCCAAAGCAGATCAGCACCTACTCTGCAGCTCATAATTGTAGAATGCTGCCTGGGTATTTAAGTTGCTCACCCGGGGTGACACAGCCACCACAGGTCAGAGATGGTTCTTAAACTCAGGTTTTCCTGTTCCTTATCCTCTATACCACAATACCTCAGTCCCTCTGGCTACAACAAAAGAAATTAATATATTTATTTATTATTAATATTTGACCCAATGAAAATACTATTGTATTTAGTAATCCCTCCCTAGATGATCTGAAATGCCCCTGGTGCCCCAAGGAAAATCTCTAAAATGCTGTCAAAGATAAGGTGCTAATCTGTGTAAAGAGAACTTTCCTTATTGGGAGTTCCCTATACCAATAGAATCCTAGATCTTGTGGGAAAAAGAGGGTCAGAAAAAAACCCAAACATTTAAGTTTACAGTTGAGGATGCCAGCTATATGACATGGCTTTCTGCAAAAACAATGATACATATTACTGTAGCCATATTGCACTATTAGTGGAGAAATTATTCCCCTTCTTCTGAATTTTTATAGTGCTTATTATTTGAACCACTCTTTTAAAATAGTACCTAGCTAACATTCATATAGCTTTTTAAGGTTTGCAAAGTACTTTACGGAGGCAGCTAGATGGCTTAGTGGACTGAGAGTTGGACCTAGAGTCGGGATGACCTGAGTTCAAATCCAGCTTCAGACACTTACTATGTGACCTTGGACAAGTCACTTGACCTCTGTCTGCCTTAATCTACTGGAGAGGGAAATGGCAAATCACCCCAGTACCTTTGCCAAGAAAACCCCACGGGCAGTATTGGTGTGCTATGGTCCAAGGGGTCATGAAAAGTCAGGCATGACTGGCCAACACAAAGTACTTCACACATGTTATCTCTTTTTGTCTGCTATTGTCACCCCCCTTTTTATTAACAGATGAGGAAGCTGGGCAGCTCAGAGGTGCAGTGGATAGGACACCGCTCCTGGATTCAGGAGGACCCAACTTCAATTCTGGCCTCAGACACATAGTAGTTGTGTGACTCTGGGCAAGTCACTTAACCCAATTGACTCCAAAAAAAAGCAGATGAGGAAATCAAGGCAGACGGAGTTTAAATGATCCTTTCTACCTTTAGGTCTATCAAAGTTGCATTCATTACAGGGAAAATCTAGATTTTAGCCTTTATTAAGTAAAAAAAACAATCAAATACCTGCTCAAGGTCATAGAACCAGTAAATATTTGAGGCAAGATTTGAACTCAGGTCTCCCTGACCTATCTGTTGTCCATCTACATAGTTGACTTTTATTGATCTTTCCCCCAAATCACTGCATTTCCCAGCATGTTTGCACAATCCAATTCTCTTTTGTAATACAAATGTCCAATGGGATCATTTGTGATCTTGCTTCATTCCACACCTGTAGCCTACCACTTCCATTCTGGAAAGAGAGTTATTGGTCTACATTATTAATATTCTGAAGTCAAAACTGTCCGAACCGTTGCTCAGAGTCCATTGCCTAATGTCATCTCTTATATTGAACGTTACTTGTTAATTGTTTTTTACATTTACTGAACTGTCTTTTACACTTATTGAATTTCAGAGGCCTCACTTCATCACCTAGATGGAAAACTACTTGAAGGAAGTGATTTTGCCAGACATCTTTTTTTTATGGCTCTAACAACTAACACAGTTCTTAGACTCAGTAGACACTCAATATGTCAAATTAAGTCAACATATATTCATTAAACACCTACTATGTTCAGGAGACTTTGCATTGGGGATCAAAGTGAGGCAAAAACAGTACTTATTCTCAAGGAATTCACAGTCTAATGGAGGAGGCAATGTGCAAATAAGCAGGAAAAACAAGCTATATACAAGATATAAAAGTCAAGCAAACCAAGGCATCCCCATTTTCCTGGCACTATTTACCTACTGTTTCACTTTATAGTATTCCTTCCCTACTCCTAAAATGTATATGAGGCATACATTTTAAAATAAAATGACTTTGGTGGACTTCATGTGAGGCAGATATAAAATTAGGGCTGGGAAACACTAGGCCAGATGATGGAGAGCATATTACTTCTAGTGCTATGTCTTAGCACTTAATGGAAAGGCAGCAGGGTTTGGTGGAGAGAGACTGAGTGGAATCAGAGAACCTGTGTTTGAATTCTATCTCTGACACAAGGTACTCATGTTACGAGTCATTTACCTCCTTGTACCTTGGTTTCCTCATCTATAAAATAAAAGAGGTTGAGTAGAAGACTATGATCCTTTCCGACTTCAGATCTGGGGTACTATCAAGTTGCATTCATTATAGGGAAAATCTGGATTTTAGCCTTTATTGAATAAAAAAAAATCAATCAAATAAAAAAAAACCCTTAATATTCTTTCCCCAGCTGCAGTTCCTGTAGAAGACAAATGCTCTGTCAACCCAATTTAATTTAACTGAGATCATTCAATCTTACAACAAATCCTACTAATTGATGTTTGCATAATAATTACCAAACAATGCAAGGAGCCATGAATTACTGTCAATAATATCAAGGTCAATAGGAACTATCTTGATTTTAAGGGAAAAGGAACATTATACCCCAAATCATCATGCACATTAAAATCTGTGCTTAGCTTGATATTAACTGTGTCCTATAATATATTCCATATCCTATGATATATCCTATAATATTCTATAATAGTTTTTTTGTTAAATAGGTTAGGGTTTCCTAACTTCACCCATTCATATTTCTGCCAGTTCAGTGGTGAATACCCAATATGTACTCAATATTAAAAAAAATACTGCCAAAAGTACCCAAGTGGCAGCAGGAAATGACTTTCCAATAGAGATGCTGCCAATGGCATGTTGGCTAAGGCTTAATTCCATTTGCCAATAAGTGATTCATCTGTCTGTGACTTCAGCAGCATAAACATTTGTTGAGAGCCCAAGACAGCTGACCTGGCTTCAGAAGGATACCAATAAGGAAGATCTCTAAAAAGGAGAGTGAGGACATTGTTAACTAGGAGTCTTTCACTATATCTTAACAGTAAAAGTAGCTTACATTTAGATAGCATTTGAGGACTTATATATTATCTCATTTGATCCTGTGAAGATAAAGCCCTGTGAGGTATTATAGATAGTGTGGATATTTTTATGCCTATTTTACAGATGAAGAACCAAAAAGCTGAAGTGGCACAATAAAGCTAAACACCATAAAAGCTAAACATGATAAAGATAAATATGATAAAGCTAAGATATGAACCCAGGGCATCTATATCCAAATTTCCAAACTTCCTTAAATCTCTTGTTTAAAGGAGCAGTTTTCCAGCTTACAACAGGGCTGTCAGAGACAACACAGTATTTGAAGTAAACAATTGTCCAGCTCATAAAAAAATGAAGAGAGAGATAAGAGTATATTCACAGTAAGGGCTTAGTTTTTGAAAAGTCCAAGATCCCTTTCTTACAGGGTTTTTGAAACTTTTGCATTTACTAAAAAGTATCAAATTGTGAGGAATTGGAGTTGTTAGTGACTTCTGTTTTAGGTGATGGAAATTTTCTATATTTAAACCTCAGGAGGGTGTGTATCCAAATGAGTATGTCCCATTGAGTCTTCCTTTCAATCTACCTGGCTGGGAGGAAAAGTACAATGGCTTACTTACCTAATATTCAACAGGAATATGGGAGTAGAGACTTCAGCTGAACTAGCCAAGGGTAATGACTCATGCTTGTCTGAGGCTTAGGAGGGTTCTGAAATGAACCAGTGGGTTCAGTTCAGGATACCAGAAAGAGAAGAGAACCCCCAGGGAGCAACACAGTCCAAGGCATTCTGAATTCAGACCAGGAGGGGAAGCAGGATACCTAAGAACTAGCCCTGTAGTCTTGGGAAAGACGTTTTCCTGGAAGCCAATGGGCAGCCTAGTGAGAAGGAGTCAGTTTGTTAGCAGGTTCGGTAAACCTGGGGACTTCCTAGATTACTCTGGGTAAAATTCTTGTGCGCTCTTCTGATGACTTGAACCTTTATATGTTGGGTCTGAATTTATACTTTTTTATTATAAATAAACCTCTTAA